AACCCTGAACCATTATACTATAATCTCTAAACTCTAAAGCCGGCCAGCACCGAGGCTGCGAACCTGGAGATGCGGCAAAGCCGCCGGCGCCCAGGCACCAGGGTTTCCCTCGCACAGTATGCCTCGAAGGTCTTTGGGATTTCGGTGTTTGGGGTTTAGGATTCTACCGGGATTAGGGTTTGGTCAGGGTTTAGGGGTTAGTTTAGGGTTCAGGGTTTGGGGTTCAAGGTGGGCTTGATAATTCTCATCCATCATTCCGAATGCAAAGAAGCTTGCGAAGTCCTCGCTGCAGGAAGGCGAGAAGAAGGCCTTACAGCTGCTGACTGCTGCGGAGCGTCATGCTCAGAGCCCTCCAGGGCTGTTCTGTCATCGTGTGGGCATTTAGCATGGTAGGTTCAGGGGTTTGGGCTGCTCTCCCTAAGGCCAAAAGCCTTAAGGTAAGGGTTTGTTCCTTGCCCCAGATTCGTAGCCTGGAAGAGTTTGGGTGGCGTCTAGGGTTGGGCGTGCCGCGCGTGTGTAACTTTGTTTCCTGTTTGTGAAGGTAGTGCCTTGTTTCTAAGGGCCTATGAGCAAGCTGCTCTGACGTCGTCTTCCTATACCGTATACTTCAAGTTAAGCTTCAAACCTTTAAGTTTTGCTTCAAGCCTTCAGGTGTAGATTCTAGATGACTTGCCTCAGCCTTGCTTCAGCATATCAAACTATGTTCTAGTATATATTGTTGGTAGGATTGGTGTTTTTGTTTTCTTATAGTCACAACGACTGTCATTACTGTTATTATTATTGTCATTACCATTAGTATTTTTATTATGATTAATTTAGTTGTTATAATTCGGCCTTAACATGCCTTAGCTGCAGTTCGAAGGCTACGTGATCCATCCGGGCCCGGTCTGAGGCCGATCCAGGCCCCTGGATGCATCAATCACATCGCCGTGGGGAAGCGCTTCCTCGCGTTGGCGGTTGGGAAGGAGGGCTCTGCAAAACGGCTTACAGCAGGGCCGTAGAATTTGGGGGTGTATGATAGTACATTTTTCTCGAGGAACCCTACGGAATAATGTTGGTAACGCTCAGCAAAAAGGCTAGATTCGGGTTCAGTTTGTTCAGGTATTCAGGGTTGAGAAGCCCCAATGCATAAAGCAGGGGTTCGGGCCGGGTGCGGGGTGAAGGTCACAGAACGTGGTGTCTCAACAACTAGTTAGCCCTCGGCAATGGCCTGTGACATGTTGGAAAAGGGTTTTAACGTGGGTGGGGGGCTTACGCACATGCAGACACTGTTCCAGCAGGGCCAGCTGAGTCAAACATGCTTCAAGAGCCTGTTTTCTATCGATTCTTCTGCGTGGTTGCGATGCCAGCTCTGATCGCTTCCCGACGGCACAAGCAGACGGGAGGTCTTCGAAACAAAGGTGTCGTCGGGTTCGATAATGTGTGAGGAAAGATCAGTACCAATATCCTTCCCCGATACTTTTCTACACCTTGTCTACAACCTCATTGTAATTGTTGAGGCCGGAACGATAGGGCTTGCATGACTAGAAGGAAAGTTCAAGTCAACCCAAGCCCCGAAAACCAGAACAGCAACTGCAAAATCCCAAAACCCTCAACCCCTGAACCCCGCAACCCTCAACCCTGAATCGGAAAGTGCTCGAAGGAGCACAAGTTTGGCCGTTGGTTCTACGACAGGAAGGAGATGAATGGGGTCCTCCTGGCCGGCACCTCAGGGTTCCTTTTGGGGTTTAGGGTGTAGGGTTTAGGGTTTAGGGCAATACGGCATTATTTAGGGTACTCCGGGACTTTGATTTCACAACTACCCATATGAAATCAGGGCGCCTGCGCTTCAGGGTCAACATTCGTGTCCTAGCACCCAACCCCTGTCCCCTGAACACCTCTTCGTCATCAAAGTAAGTAAAACCTGAACCTTCGGTCTTTACAGACAAGCCTTGTTCCTGGTTCCTTACTTGCCGAACCACAGAACATGGAGCCGAACGATGTTTTTGTTCGCTTGGCAGGTGGGATTTCGGGAGTCATGTAGAGGACAGTTTAGCAGGTCATCGTCTCCTTGGTAGTATTTGCTTACGTTGTGAGAATCGCCCCTATAGTCTTTCCATTCTTTTTCCCCGGGAGGACGCCGATTGTCAAGAAAAGCGGTCCTTACAGAACTATTCTAATAACCCTAAACCCTAAACCCTAAACCCTAAACCCTATTCTAAGTGTTGCAGTCCTTCTAGTAGGCCAAACCTCGAAGCGCTTGGAAGATCTCGCAGCTTTGAGAGGTGTCATTGTTGAGACCCGCGCTTTGCTTTTAAGGGCTTCAGGCTTAATTAGGGTTTAGGGTCTTGGGAGTACAAAGGGAGTTCAGACCTGCAGGAAGGTTATTCTGGCTTGTATGTTGGGGGTAGAATCAGACTTGCGATGACAAGGCTCCAGAAAGCGCCTTTTGGGATCCCTAGGGTGACAGTTTCGGCTTCGTGGCTGGCTTCGTCATGAAGCAACTAGTGAGATAGTGGACCAACTAATGATGCGACGCCTTCAAATCAGCTCTGAACCAGGACTCCCAAGCCCTAAGCCCTCAGCTTCAGGCCGCGCCTTAACCACGTAGCTCCAATTCAACCTCTATCTCAAAGGCCCAAACTCTAGAGCACATGTGATCTCCCAGGTGCCCCTCAGCTACAAGGAAAGCTGACCCGCCCGTGCGTGGGTAGCGGCGACGAACGTGGGAGTACCTCCATGCTAGACGCAACCAGTGTCATAAGCATGTAAGCATGGCGCTAGGACGGTACTAGTCGTAGTCGTAGCTATAGTCGGAGTCGGAGTGGAGTCGACAGAAGGGTAGCCGGGAGAGTAGCAGGAGAGTAGCAGTGGCAGTCGGAGTAGTAGTAGTAGTAGTAGTAGTAGTAGTAGTAGTAGTAGTAGTAGTAGTAGTAGTAGTAGTAGTAGTAGTAGTAGTAGTAGCAGTAGTAGTAGTAGTAGCAGCAGTAGCAGTAGCAGTCGCAGTAGTCGTGGTCGTCGTGGTAGTCGTCGTTGTAGTTGTAGAGGTAGTCGTAGTCGTAGTCGGATGAGGAGGAGGAGGTGAGGGGAGGCGCAGGAAAAGGAGTAGCAGTGGCAGCAGTAGTAGTCGTCCTGCTGGTGGCGGTGGTGGTGGTGATAATGTGTGTTCAGTCACTCGTAGTGTTAGTAGTGGCACGGCCAGGTGTCGTGGTCGCAGTCGCTATCCGGAGAAGGGCGGTCGCAGTCAAACTTGGTTTCGGACTAGTAGTAGCAACTAGTGCCGAGGTTTAGACATGGTTATACTTCACACCACTTGATTGCAAAATACTGTTAAAGAACCACAAACAAACAAGTCAGACGACAAAAGCAGCCTTACCACTCAAGTTGGCTTTCGCAGACCTTGCAAAACCTGATTCGACAACCCTACTTCCTAAGAACACCGAAATTACAAAAAACCGAAGCTCACACCCAAGTGTGAAGCCCTGAAGCTCGGCAATGCCGTCAAGTTAAGCCCAGTGCCGGGTCACGGCCCGCTTCTGTATCTCGGATGCTCTTGACACTGGCAAAAGGACTGCAGTGCTTAGATCACAAGATCGGGGATGCCCCTGAGTGCAAGGACCGCCATTTCCTTCTACCCCCATCCCTCCCACACACATATTCAGGGCTTGCGCGGATTCTGATGCGGGTCTGAAGGAGCCTGACCCCCCAACCTCAGACAAACGGCAAAACCTCCACCCTGAGCCCGAAGCCCAAAATCGTAAGGCGAGGGCTTATAAACTCTCGATTCCAGTTTCTTGTCGTGAGTTTGATCAGCTTCACATTCACCATAAGTCTGAACCAGTTGCTGACTAGCGTTCGGCATGAACGGTTTCATTGTGAAGAGGGTTATGGTTTAAAATACCGGCTTAGAGATATAACACACTACGATATAACATGCTATCGCATGGTAGTTTTGCGGGAGGTATGTTGGATTAAAGACAAAAGGTGTCGGGACGATTTACACAGTTGCAGCTTGTGAGATTGAGCGGGGGTACCTGAGATTTTCTTGACTTGGCAAGTGCTTTAGGGTTTAGGGTTCAGGGTGTATGTAGCATCTTCCCCTCTTTGCCTGCATGCCACGGTATGTGCTGCTTCCATGTGGTGGCACTGCTTGATGACACGATGCGTTGTGTTTGGCTCGTTTCAAGAAGCACCCTGGATCTGCTGGTGCGATCACCTCGTCCCGGTCTTGACAGTAGTGTGACCTGTGATTGGTTGACTGGCTTTTTGATTGAGTGATGTATGGATGCATGGATGGATGGACGGATGGATGGACGGATGGATGGATGCATGCATGCATGCATGGACGGATGGTCGATGGATCGATGAATCGATGGATCGCTTGATCGGTAGATCGATTGATCATTGATTGGGCGATTGATCGATCGACTGTTTGTTTGTTTGAGTCAGGGAGGCAGGGAGGGAGCAAGCGAGTAGTGGTGAGTGATTGTAACACGCCCCGAAGTGCGTACACGCCAAAGCTTCACTCCCACACCGCAAGCCGCAAGCCCTGAAGTGCAAACCCTGAAACCTACACTACACCCCCAAACCCCGAGAGCCCTCTGCTGTTGCCGCTAGCCCAGCTCCGGCTCAAACCCCGAAGTCTACGGCAGCCGTCGCCCGTCCCTGGTAGCCAGGACCTCTTCCTGCAGATAGAGGAGCCACTGGGAGCCACTGCTGCTGTTTTGATATCTCGACACCTTATGAACTCGGCTGCAACTTGCAGCGTGTGATGCAGTGACAATGTGGAAGATCATGCCGACGTTGGGTACATCGGCGAAGCCGGTCTGATGATGCCGCTGGTGATGACGGTGATGATGGAGGTGGTATTCGTTGTGATGAGGGCCGTATAGCTGAAGCTCTGAACCTTTCCTTTGTCATAGCTTATGGGTACTTAACCCAATAAGGAATAAAACATAAATGTTTACTAATACTATCCCAACCATGAACTAGTTTCAATGTTCTGGGACTGCTTTGAGGTCATGGCACCTGCTGCTTCTCGATGCGCGGACCTCTAGCAATCCTTGTCCCGTCTTCTTGCTTTTGCGAGGCGCTTCTGGTCACTCTAGTCGGAGCTTGCGACAACATGAACCCTAAACCCTAAACCCCCGCCACGACCGCATAAACTGTAATGAAGAGAACATGCAGGCATCTAACAGACCAAAGGCCCGTTGCACGGCTTGAAACTAAGTCTATTAGGGGGTCTTCACACCCAGGACACGACACGGTGTTCCGAGACTCATGTATCATCCTAAACCCTTTACATCTTGAGCTCCTGGAAACATACAAAACTGGATGCAGTGAGAGAAGGAGAGAGACAGATAGACAGTTGATCCATAGCTTTGATCTCAATGCCTCGAAGCCCACATACACCTTTCTCGGAAACCTCTGACTCTGTGTAGCAACCCAAATAGGTGTAGATGAGAAGCATCAACGGATGCATTTTCGTGAGAGCCGCATCTTCGTCATATGTGCCGGAAATCGAAGCTTAGCCCTCGGCATGAAAAAATCTGTCCCGAAAGATAGGATAGGTGTCTTATAGGAGCCATGTTAAGGAGCCTTTATAGGAACTCAGTAAGGAATATGAATCACAAGCCCCAGCACGAACTCCGAGTCCCAGACCCTTTCCATATAGTTCTAAACCCTTAACCTCCCAAACTATCGTACACCTCTAAACCCGTAAACCCTCGTAAATTCCGAACCCCCAACCCCTCAACTCTAAACCCTATACCGAGGCGTGCTTCGAGCCGCAGCTCTCGTGGCTGTCACTGCTGGGCTTTGGCTGACTCAGGCTTTGGGTTTGGGGCTTGGGGTCTAGGCTGAAAGTGTTTAGGGGTTTGGGGTTTAGCAGTTTAGAGTTTAGTGGGTCATGATATTCGATTGTAGTTCCCACGTGGGTATACGGTAATATAAGACCAAAAAGCCCCTCCTCTCCCTTCCCCGTTGTTAAGCCCCTGCATTTCAGGAGTTGTGTTCTAAGCTAGAAAGTTTGGCGTCTAGGGTGTAGAGATTTAGGGTTTCGGGTTTAGGATTGAGACATTTAGGCTTTGGGGTCAAGGGCCAGGGTTTAGGGTTGGGGATAAGGATGCATCAGGATTCTTGGGATTAGGGGTTAATTAGGGTTGGGGCTAAGGGATGGATTTTAGGGGTGAGGGTGTGGGATAAATTGGGGCGGGTTTAGTCTAGCCCTTGCACAAGGTAATCTGCAAAATGTACATCTACATATGCACATGCACGCATACACACATACATACAATATCTAATATATACTATGCATGGTCTATATAGCTTCTCAAAAGAGGGTAGAAATTGAGCTTCCCTTCCCACAGGAAACAGTTTGGGGCTGAACCCTTCGCCTGCCAGCACCGGACTCTCAACATCTCTAAACCTTACCGCTCGAATCCCACCCTGAACCCTAATAAACCCTAAACCCTAAACCCTAAACCCCTAAACTCTAAACCTTAAACCCCTAAACCCCTAAACCCCTAAACCCTAAACCCTAAACCCTAAACCCTAACCCTAAACCCTAAACCCTAACCCGGAACCTCAAAAGCTCCGGAGGCCTTCGTAGCCGCCCCGGCCCCCCAGACTTCACCCGCCTTGCGGGCGGCCGGACCGTTCTTGGCCTCAGCTTTTCTGTGACATTTTGGGTCAGGTTTCGAGGTTTGCAGTTCCGTGCGAGTTCGGACATTAGAAGTTTTGATGCTTGGCGTCGAGAGTTTGGGGCTTAGAGTTTGGGGTTTAGGTATCTTGATGATCCAAGCGAGTTTGGACGTCTGGTGCCCCGTGAACCCAGGTTGACGCATGATTCTGCGCTAAAGGGCACATTGTTTTGTGCAGGGGCACTTTTAAACTATGTGCCTTAAACCTTCAATCGCAAGCCTTAAAGGATTCGGGGTTTTGGGTTTCGAGTGTGCTGCACAGGAGCTGAAGTTCATGTTCTCCTTGTGATATGGCGGTAATTAGGGACCCCTAAACCCTAAACCCCTAAACCCCGAACCTGAGTCAGCCTGGTGGACTCCCAGGGATGACCAAGCCCAAGGGACTACCAGGAGGTTACGCAGCTTCGAACTTCAAGCTTGGGTTTAGGGTTTAGGGTTCCGAAGACCTCATATGGGTGGTTGTCAAAATTCGGGTCCCTTTTTGGGTCCCTATTACAGTACGGCACCTAATATTCGGGGTACCAAAAAAAATTTTGACAACCACCCATATATGTCAGATGGGGTTCTAGGGCTCATGGAGGCGAGGGTTGACGGGGTTGAGGGTTGGCACGAAGTACGGAAGATTCGGTCTATGGTACGGTTTGCGTATGTTCATCCAGGAATTGCCGCTCCAACCTTGAACTGCAACCTATTTTCATGATCAAATACCATTTCATACTTAATTATTGTAGTATATCATGGTAATATACCTATACCAAAGTACCGTACAGTACCTTATATTGTGGTACACTCTTCAAGAACCTTATAAAAGCTCCTAAGGCGTGCCACTGCAAGCACTGCCACGGCGCAGACAGGGTCCGAGACCACTGCGCTGGCCCGGGTGCTAAGTGCTCTCTGAGCTTTCGGGGCTCTGGAGCTTTCAGGTTTAGGTTTAGGGTTTAGGGTTCCAAGGTGAAACCGCAGGTCCGGGAGCCTGCAAATCCTGAACCGAAAGCCCCCGAACACTGAAGGATCTTCCATGCCATACTTATGGAACAGGGCAGGCAGTTCTCAATTCGAGACTGCGAGTCTCCATCAAGCTTTTTTGATGCGTTTACTAGTAAATCCTGCTCGTCTGTGTGGTGTGGATTATTGTATCGTCAGTCTTCCGTGTTCCATTGATGGTACCTGTTTCGTTGCTATTTCCTGTTATGGTCAATAGCTGTGCAAGAAGTTCTTCTGAACTTATCTAAAGGTTCTCGCATGTGGGGCTGTTAGTTGCAAACAAAGGACCTTACAAGGGACGCTAATTTAGAGAACTAGCCATGCAATCAGTTGTCCGGGCATCCGGGTGTCAGACTCTTCGGGGTGTGGGCGTCATTGTCATGGAAACGTTATCAAATCTACGTGTTGAGTACAGATAATACTAGGAGGCCCATGGGTAGATATAAGTGCGGGTATAAGTGGGGTACTTGTAGTTAACCATGTAGTAGCACTTGTGATTCCACTTATAGCTACCCGTGAACCTCCGAGTACAGATACCCCTCTGAAAGCTCCGAAACCCTATGTCCCAAGACCCGAGACCCCAAACCCTAAACCTTCAGCCCTAACCCTAAACCCCAAACCGTGCAACCCGAGGCAGCTAGCTGCCTACTGGCCGGCGTCTCTGCATCCCTGGCACGCAGGGCGACAGCTCGTCGTGCGGCAGGGCGCTTGGCATTCTGCAGGTTCGGACCTAGGATTTCACATAAGAATTTGAATATGTGGTGCTACGGTTGATGATATAAATCTTGCATTACCTTACGGACCCTTTCGAAAAGTGCACGGCTCGTCGTTGAATTGTTGAAACCCGAAACGACCGAAGCTCTTCTCTAGGCTCCTTAATCGTTAGAACAAGGCCTGGGGGTACATGGGGACGGTGGTGAGACAGTATTGCTGTTCCTCCAAACCTCTGTGCTGACGCTTGTAACGGCCCTGAGAAGTATGCGATTTATCCTACCAACAACCCCCCCTAAACCCTAAGCCCTAAACCCTACTGTAAACCCTAAAGCCCTGAAGCCCTGAAGCCTAAGACTTCGACTCTGAAGCCCTAAGCCCCTATCCCGCATACCGCCGAAACTTGAAACCCTTGAGCTCTGAACCCTTGTGCTCTGCGATTATAGTATGATATACTACCACAGACAATAATCTACTATAGTATACTGTATGTAGTATACCTTAATATACTAGAACGCACCATAACATACGACCAAACACCGTCCTATACTTCGACATTCTGCAGTAGCTAGGCTACATTTTGTGTACTACAACATGCTACGGTCGCCGTAAAACGCTGAAGATTCTCTCATAATGTTCTCGAGTATTGGGAGTTTAATGAAGTTTACTCTATGACGCCTCCATGCAAGAGATGAGGCAATTGGTGCTGCCATCTTTACGTTAGTGCTGAATCTCATGTTTTTGGATCGTTTTGCATTCTTGTACGTTAAGGTGGCTTAGGGGCACGCCTGTCGGTGCTGAACAAACAATTGCCAACCGGTCTCCTTGGCGAAGCCCCGGTGTCTGTTGTGGAGTTGTTTTTTGCTGTAGGTTTTCGGTACCTCTCCAACCTCCCAGAACAAGGATCAGCAAGAGTCGGAGCAGAAGAAGCCCTTCAGCGTTTGGGACCGCCGGGGGAGAGCTGGCCCAGAGATGCTGAGTTTCGGTCGCTTCAGTTTGGGAGCAGCGCCGCAGGGAAAGCAGGTCATTCGATAAACGGGTGCATAGGGGCTTATTATTGAAAAATACACGACCTCACTCACCCAGCTGACCGGAGTCCCACACCCTACACCTCAAATCCGAAAGCCCTGAGCATGGAGGAGCCGGACACCTACGGCAACATCTCCATGGACGATGTGAAGAAGTACGGCGCAGTGGGGTTCCGAACATATGGCGGTTAAGTCGGGCATGATCATCCTCCCTTCCGGAGGAGCACCAGCAACAGCCACAACATCACCATCACTATACGTCATCACGAACATCACCATCATCATGGCCATAATCGCCATCATCATCAGCCATGCCATCACCATCGCCATCAGCACCAACTGCATCATCACCATCATCATTATCATCAGTGTCAGCGACATCCTCCTCCTCCTCCCTCCTCCTCCTCCTCCTCCTCCTCCTCCTCCTCCCCCTCCCCCCCTCCTCCTCCTCCTCATCAGCATCACCATCCCCAGCTTCACTATCACCAGCATCACCATCAGCATCTCAACCAGTATCACCATCAGCAGCAGCATTATCGCCAGCATCACCATCACCATCACCAGCAGCATCACCACCAGCATCACCATCACCATCACCATCACCATCACCATCACCATCACCATCACCATCACCATCACCATCACCATCACCATCACCATCACCATCTCCATCTCCATCTCCATCTCCATCTCCATCTCCATCTCCATCTCCATCTCCATCTCCATCCATGTCCATCTCCATCGCCATCGCCATCGCCATCGCCATCCATCACCCGTCACCAGCATTACCATCAGCATCGCAAACAGCGTCACCAAAATCACAGTCATTCACCAGCATCACCGCCACCATCACCACCATCACCACCATCACCACCATCACCACCATCACCACCATCACCACCATCACCACCATCACCACAATCATCGTCATCATGATCATCCTGAGGCATAGCGCCGCCATCATGGCAACCACCCAGAACCACTACCGCTCACTGTGCATAGTACACAGCAGCGGGTTCCATAGAAATCTTTCATTCTTCTCGGTGCTTCTCGGGCCTAAGCAGGACCACACGAAGGCTCCAGTCGCTTCGCGAACAGAAATCCGCCTGAAACAGTTGCTACCCAGTTGCCTTTCAACCCTAAACCCTAAACTCTAAACTTTAAACCCTAAACCCTAAACTCTAAACCCTAACCTCTAAACCCTAAACCCTAAAAACAGCCGACATTGAGGCCGGCACCCTTTCGTACGTGATCACCGAGCTCATCTTTTGGGCGGTGGCCTTCCCCTCGGAGTGCGGGCCTGAGATACAGCGTGCTGGAGCCTTAGGACTTGAGAGGGTTGCAGGATGTTGGGTGTAGAAAGCTAACGTCTAGGCTAGGTAGTAGGATCTAGGGCTGATCGGCATCGGATGAGATGGTTCGAGTCAGGCATGGTTGACGGTTGTGGCAGTGGTAGTCGAATAGTAGTCGTCGTCGTAGTCGCAGTTGCTGGAGTCGTGGTGGTAGTTGTAGCCGTAGTCGTCGTCGTAGTCTTTGTAGCAGGAGCGGGAAGAGCACCTTCAATGAATCTTGATACATCTTGATACAGATCAGCGCAAAGTACACGCAACCAAACTCCTCTACCGTAAGCACTACATCCTTGTTCTATGCCTTAAGCCTTAAGCCCTCTACCCTAAACCTGAGCCTGAAGCACAAGCCCCAAACCCAAAGGTGCATTGTCTACTTGAACACGGCTGGGCACTGGCCTGACTTCAGCAAGCCAGAGGAAGGGGGTTCAGGGCTCTGGGATCGTTAGGGTGCTTGGGGTTTCGGGGTAGGGTTTCCACGGGGAACAGCAGCATCATTTGCTGTAGTTACTCCAGTTCGATCGGCTCGAAGGGCTTCGGGGTTTAGGGTTCGGCTCCCAAGGTCCGAGACTCTGAAGCTTCCAGCTGCAGAGCCTTAAAGCCCTTAAAGGTTGCGAAGAAACCTAGTCCCCAAACGTTAAACCCTAACCTTACCCCCCCCCCCCCCACCCTTTACGCGCCCCCACCCCCCATGCGCATCATCATTACTCCGAAGCAGGCGCACCGGTCACCGCCAAAAGCCCCCAATCAAGTAAGAGACCGTGGGTTGCACTCCGAGCCCCACACCGTCACCACTCAGCCCTAGCAACTTCAAGCTAAAACGACATATAGGGGTCTGGATAATATTCGTTTTAGTATTCCTATAGTCGCCCCCAAAACCTTAATCCTTTTTTTCTCGGGCCTCAGGTAAACGCCCGGCACTCTCCACTCCCCAAAGGATCCTAAATCCCAGCGTCACGCGAACGACAACAGTGATGCTTGCTATAGAAACTTGGAACCAGGTTATTAGGGCCTTCTTGAGGATGATCTGCTTCCTTTCAAACGAAGCACTTCGTAAACTCCTCTGGAAAGAAAAAGCAAAGAGCCCTGAGTATCACCCCTTTAACAAAACTCCTCCAGTCTTATGTGCTCCAGGAAACGCGAAGCCCTAAACCCCTAAACCCCAAACCCCTAAACCCCCAAACCCTACACCCTAGGGGTCAAGTTTAGCTGGGCCCCACTCCTAAACCCTAAGCCAGAAAGAAGCTACTGCTGATGATAGAAATCCCGCATTACCTTAAGGACCTTAAACTATGGGAATTATGGTATATTCCTTATTATGGGTAATGCAGTATTTATATCATCAACCGTAGTTTCGGATCCTGAAAGGAGAGCGCGGCCGTCTTCGGGCTTGTCTTCGCGGCCTCCAACATCGCCCCGATGCGTTGTAAAGGGGCTTTGCGGTTGAGGTTTCAGGGAGTCTTTGTTGGCAGGTTTTTTCTGTATTCTTCATTTTTTCACCTGTTTTTTTGCAGGCTTGCATCCGGTTTCAAGGATTCTGGCTTTGGCACGTTGGGTTTGGGGTTGCTGCAGCTTTGAATGTTGAAAGTTCGGGTTCAACGTTGGGGTTGACTGGTTTAGGGGTTTAAGGGTTCGCAGGTTAGGGCTCTGCGGGTTAATGAGTTCGGGGGTGACAGGCAATGGGACTGGTTGTGTTACTCTGAACAACACCTTCGAATCCGTGCCGACTTCTCATCCAGATTATGATCGTGACGCAGGCCTTTCGGACCAGTTGAGCCCAGGTTTGCATGGTTTAAGGTTTGGACTTAGGCCCTCAGGGTTGACGATCTCACTAGGTTCAGATCCCAAGCATTGGCACCTCTGTCAAGGTGATTCGGGGACCTGCTTTGTGAAGTCACCCATGTTGTGAAGGTGTACGTGCCTTAATCGCCTACAAAACTCGAAACTCTAACGCACTCGGGCTTTCTCTGAGGAATCGGCAGATGGGGAAACAGGCCCCGATCGCCCAAACCCTTAAAACCTCGGAATCCCCAAAGCCCGAAGCACTTAAACGCTTCCAGATCCCTCAAACAGCGCCTGAGCACTACGAGTAGGATGAGTGCTTCCCATTCTTACGCTGACACGGAAACCCTTAAAGTAAAAGCCAGAAAGTTGGAATATGATTATCCTAAGCCCTTTATGGTAAATTAAGTGGTATCCTACCCTGAAACCATATTCCAACTTTCTGGAGTTCCCTTTAAACCCCTCAAACCCTTAAGCCCTCAACCCTATACCCTAAACCCTAAACCCTAAACCAAACCCTTAAGCCCCCAATGCCTTGAGGCCCGACTTCTCCTACCCATCCGCTTCGGGGCAGCTCTCGCCATGGCTCCCTGGGTTCACGGGCTCAGTTCCCCAGAGACTCCAATATCCCTTAATTATGGAATATATAATTTTTATAGATTTTTTTTAGAAAATTCCTTAGTTAAGGAATATACCTTAAATCATATTAGGGATCCTACTATATTTTAAGGTATATTCCTTAATTAAGGGATATTGGAGTCTCTGGTTCAGATGCAACCCTGAGCGCTGTCAGCGGCATCCGCAAGACACCAGATCTGAGCATCTTCAGGGTTTAGGGTTTCGGGTTTAGGGTTTAAGGTTTATGGTTTAGGGATGTTTAGGGTTTAGGGTTTAGGGAATTTAGGGTTTAGGCATGTTGAGGGTCATCATGATCATTATCGGCATCGTCGTCTAGGCGTCATTCACCGCCCACCGTCAATATCGGCCACCACAATATCAACCTCAATGAAGCAACCGTCCTGCGCGCTTGTCTTCCGGTTACCGCGCTTCGTACCATGATTGTTGCTATCACTATTGCAGCCGGTGTTTTGCACAATATTCGTACCATGTGCTTGGTCTGGGTCTGGTTCTTATGATTATAGGAACGCAGTTTCAAAGCAATTGTTGGTTTCGATGGCACAGCGATTATGAGTTCCCTACGCCTGAGGGTTTCCGACGGTTCAAGGCTTAACGGTTGAGGGTTCAGGCGCTAAAGGCCGCAGGGCTGAGGGTTCTGGAGGCTAGAGGGATTCGGTTTCGAGTTTCATAATATAACTTCCTGCCCCTTTCTTCTGCAAATCTCCCCTGACAGCCACTGTAGGTTGCTGAAGAATCGGTTCTGATATCCCATCAAAACCCCGGTTGAACCATAGTATATCGTACTCCCGAACCCTGTTCTGAGGTTGACGAGAACATCATGCAGAAGTTCTCCAAGCAGGAGGCTGGAAAGGGCTGCACCCAAAGTCTTAGTCGGTTTGGGGCTGGGCAAGCCTACAGTGTGAGATGTGAGGGTATAGGATTTATCCACGACGAGCACAAGCTTCCAGAAGAAGGTTGAAGGGTGGACTACGAGCAAACTGACAAAGTACTTCGGTGTGCTGGAGTGAGTAAGAAGCCAGTCTTGAATGCGCTTTCGCTTGAACGTACTCTCTTCGCTGTTGTAAGCTCTACTTTTACAAAAGAGATGCTTTATAGAAGATCTTACAGGGAATCCTGATCCAGAGATCCCTTGAGACGCTTGATACACCCGAGCGTATCTAGGCCCTGACTGCAGTTGTAGAATAGTGCGTAGGATCCAGGTAGGGCTGCATGCAAAACTGCAAAACCGCAAGACCTCCAGCCAGTAGGTTGTTGTGAATACGAGGGGCTTGGGGACAGCGCTGGTCTACTTAATTTTTCTGGCCAGGCCATGATCAGAGCCCGCCCAACATAGCAAGTCTTCAATCCTAAATCATCACAACCCCGAATCTCAACATCATCCAACCCACCTTTGAGACGTGACGTAAGGCCCAAGTCCCAAACACGCTAATGTAGGAGCCTTAATGATTACCTGTACTGTTGTAGGGGCTCCTTATTGTAATTACAGTATAATACACCCCCAAACCCTATTCCAATTTATAAAGGCTCCTACATTATAGTACCCTTATAGATCCCTTATAGTAGCCCTTCTAGAATTACTTTAAAGGAGCCCTATTCTAATTATTAAGGCCCCTACATCAAACCCCCAATCCTCAAGCCCAAGACCTCCCATGCCTTGATCCGACTGCCAAGGCGAAGGAGGGGGCATGAACACCTACGAGCCTGTTCAGGCTTGGGCTTCGTTTAGGGTGGTTTGGGTTCAAGGGTTTAGGGTTTAGGGTTTGGGTTTTGGGGTTTAGGGTTTGGGGTTTAGGGTTTAGGGTTTGGGGTTTGGGGTTTAGGGTTTAGGGTTTGGGGTTTGGGGTTTGGGGTTTAGGGTTTAGGGTTTGGGGTCTGGGGTTTAGGGTTTAGGGTTTGGGGTTTGGGGTTTAGGGTTTAGGGTTTGGGGTTTGGGGTTTAGGGTTTAGGGTTTGGGGTTTGGGGTTTAGGGTTTGGGGTTTGGGGTTTGGGGTTTAGGGTTTAGGGTTTGGGGTTTAGGGTTTAGGGTTTGGGGTTTAGGGTTTGGGGTTTGGGGTTTGGGGTTTAGGGTTTGGGGTTTGGGGTTTGGGGTTTAGGGTTTGGGGTTTGGGGTTTAGGGTTTGGGGTTTGACCCGAACCACAGAGCGTACAACTTCTTCGCAGATTTTGACTTTGCTCCCTCTTGCTCGAAGCTATGTCGTGCTGAGGAAATACACGTAAGGTCGCCATAGATATGACTGCTTCAAACTGTTTAGAACCGTAATTGAGGTACTTATATATTCGTGCAAGGACGGGGGTGTCGAGCCAGAGCTCGAACTTTCGATGTTTGTGAGTTGTTTGATCATGCCTTACAAACTTACCATCCTCAATTCGAAGGGTTTGATCTCGAATCCCTAACCCCGTCACCAACCCTAAGCTCTAAACCTCATTGAACAGTGGGATCTTAACCCTCAGCTCCCGCCCAAACTCTTTGCTCAGGCTTTGGGATGATCGAGACGAAGCATTTAAAAGACCTTCGCTCAACCCCTTGCAGTGTCCGGAGAACAAATTCCCTAAACCCTAAATCCTGAACCCTGAACCCTGAATCCTAAACCCTAAACCCCTGCTTTCGTCCTTGTGCGGGAGCCTAAACAGGCCTTGTGTGGAAACAACCACAGGCCTTTCGCGGCAGTGGGTTTAGGTTTAAGGGTTGATGGTTTACAGAGGTTAGGGTTTAGGTAGAAGTCTAGCAAGTGAGGGGGTTTAGGAGTTTGGTATGTCAGGGTTGTAGCATTTTCGGATTTTGGGATTGTAGGATGTTAGACTTTGCTGGAAATAGAATTTCAGGATGTTTGCGGCTTTAGAATTTTTGGATTTTTGTGGCTTGAGGTCTTAAGTTTTATGATTTTGAGATGTTTAGGGCGTTACGATGTTTGCACTCTCAGGGCTTTAGCAGTTTTGGGATTTTACAGGATTTCTCATTTCGGTTTAAGGGTGTTTCAGGGCTTTTAGGATGTTACGATGTCTGTGGGTGTTGTAGTGTCTTCGGATGATTTTCTTGCAGTGGGGCTCGAGTCTAGACGATGATGGACTTCGGATTTGGGGCTGGGATGCACTTCTTTGGGTTCCATAGCAAACGGGCGGTAGTGTAGTATACCCCAGCCCAATTATGGGTTACGAAGCCAAGTTCGTGAGAAGTTTGTGTTTTTCGAGCCAGCAGTATGATTTCGCTAAGTTCTTACTAGATTATGATTACGATTGTACTATACTATACCACGCCAACCCACCTGCACACTCAATCCCCCACAACCTGCACCATATAAACGGTCGTTTTGTTTGGCTCTCTGCCTGGTTCTTTGCCAGGTTGGTGCATCCTCCATCCATCTCAGCACTTTAAGTGAAGGGTTTCAAGTCCGGTGTAGGAGGCGCCTCGTCCCCCAACTACCAATGAATCTCGAGCCCTTACATCCTAAGCCCATCTCCCACAGAAGGCGCTCCCTGCACGTTTTAGCCGTTTTCCGTTTTCGCCATCAGCCGCGCGCACGTTCCGGAAGACCAGCTGGAGTCGTGTTTAGCGAATCGAGCTTCGGGGCCCTAAACCCTAAACCCTAAACCCTAAGAGGCCCCAAGATCTGCTGGTTTACGATGGACGTGGGAGCCTGGGGCCCGTTTTTGCACAAACGCGTGTCGCACAGCTCAATCAGCCACAAGAAATCGGACCAGCTGTGTGTGTGTGTGGCAGCTTCCATATCTAGAAAGATAGTGCCCCGCAGAGTTTCTGAAGCTGTAGACCCTACTTAAACATGTTTCGATCGATCCGATCTCCCGGCTTCGTCTTTCCATGGCTCTCGGGGCAAAGCGCCCGAGAATGCCCACGAGAAACCTGGACAAGTGGAGAAAGTATGCATCGCGATCATGGCACAGTCCTCAGTTTGTAGCGTGGTCGTTTTTTCTGAAAATGGGGATCCTAATATCGTGCCCTAAATAGCAGGATCCTTGTTGTAAGGACCTCAAAATAAGGTACCCCGAATTTTCGGGAAGGGTTTCGAGTGCTGTGGTGCTGAGACTTCACCAGAGTACCGGGGGGGTCGCCTTCAGGTGTCGGGGGTTTAGGGTTTGGGGTTCAGGGCTCAGGGTTTAGGGTTTAGGGCTAAGTTCAGTGTTTGGCGTTTGCCCGGGTCCGGTGCATAAAGAGAATTGCTGTCGTGGGGGGAAGCCTTCCGCGTTGCAAGACCTAGCTCTAGCCCGAAACCTTAAATTCTGAACTTTATAAACCCTAAACCCTAAACCGTAGATTCTAGGCATGTTTCCTGCTTGGTCTTGTGCTCAAAGCGGTCTGCTGAAATGTGGCAGACCGCTGCCGAAGGCTCAGGACCAAGACGGTTCTGCTGCTGATAGGATTAGGGTTTAGGGTTTAGGCTTTAGGGTTACAGTGCCTCTGTTACATGTTGTTGTCAGTATCAGTCCAGATTTGTCTTCGCGAGTTGAGGTTGTGATGTTGCTGTCATTCATTCTGACCATGATTGCTGCTTTCGTCAGTGCTGCTCCTACTACTACTACTACTCCTCCTGCTGCTGCTGCTGTTGTTGTTGTTGTTGCTGCTGCTGCTCCTGCTACTGCTACTGCTACTGCTACTGCTACTGCTACTGCTACTGCTACTGCTACTGCTACTGCTACTGCTACTGCTACTGCTACTACTACTGCTACTACTACTGCTGCTACTACTACTACTACTACTACTACTACTACTACTACTACTACTACTACTACTACTACTACTACTACTACTACTACTACTACTACTACTACTCCACCTCCTCCTACTACTGCTGCTACTACGACGACTACGGCGACTACGACTACTACTATCCGATGGCACCAACAGGAAGCATCGTGTTCATATGCATATCAACAACAAGAATAGCAGAAGTGTGACAGCACAAACCAGGTAACCGCCGAGTAGAGCAATACTGAGGGCTGAGGATACCTGCGCTTAGGGTTACCGGCTCTGGGCTTTTGTGCTCATGTCCTCTGCGAACTCGTCGACCAGGGTCAAAGACAAGGAGGATCGGGCGGTCTGTTGGATGAAGGAGTGTACAGGTTTAGGTTTGGGCCTGGGGGAGTTGCGGTTCATGTGTTGTCTCGGCTTGTTCTTCAACATCAGACCTTTGAAGTTTGCCTTTGGCTGTTTCGGAGGTTCGTTGTGTGTTTCCTGATCTTTGCCCCAATGTCCGAAAGAGTTCAGTTCTGCCACAGGCACTCTGCAATCCTGAAAGCTTGGTAGCATGGTTTCCACAATCTCTGATTATAAACGTAGGAAAGTATGCCTCAGCTGCTACTTGAGCCTTAAACAAAGACATGCTCAATCCCTACCCTAAATCCATTAAACCCTATAGCCCTAAACCCCAAAAGCACCCGGAAAAGGCTAGAACCCCGACCTTATCCCGTGGGACTAGACGTGAAACCCCCTCAGAGGGTCCCAAACGACGGGGGTTCAGGGCAAGGGTGAGGACTGTAATTGTAACCCTTGCAGTGCATTTGAGCTTTGGAGTTCTTGGGGTTATGTTCTAGCATCAGGAGTTTGGGCTTGAGCCCCAAGACAAGGAGCATGTAGACGTGCATAAATGTTTAGGGGGTATCCTCCGGGAAACTTCCTTCACTTTTCGTTCTCTCGAAGGCTGAGAGCTTTCCGACTCCCGCACTAAGCCCTGCATTCGATAGAGTTGCTTCTGTCTTAGCGGCCTGAGCGAGCACTGCAGTACCTGTGCAGGAGGCACACGAGGCTTCTCGGACTGACTTCTTCCGTGAGCAGGACGGAGATGGACTTCTGTGAAGCCTCCAACACAACTCGAATCCACAAATCACAAGTTCATGTTAGATTGCGAACTCTACGCCCCCGAAGCTTAAGTTCAACAGGGTCCATGTTGGGGGACGTTGTCTTCTGTCACCCCCTTACAATAGCGAGAGTGCAACTGTAAATTCGGGGGCTTTCCTGGGAGGAGAACCATGTCTAGAGAGTCATGTTTTTTCCGCAGGCCACGTAAGAGTTTCAGAAAACAGGTGACCCCCCACATGAGTTTTACAGAACCCCCTTAAGCAAACGAAAGTCTTGGTTGGAAGAACCCTTTCCAATAAGGGGGATAAACTCAGAATACAATCTGAGCCCTCAGGAGGCTGATAGCTCCCACTTCGAGTCAGGGGTTCAGTGTTCGGGACTTACGATTTCCGGTTCAGGGTTTGCCGTGTGAATTTTCGAACTCAGGATTGGAGGTTAAAGCGAAAACTTGAAATTCCAACCCCTAAACTCAGTCCCCCAACCCCTAAACGCTCAATTCCAGACCCTAAACCCCGAATTTCTAGACCCAGAATCCCAAGCTCTACACCCTACACCCTGAATTCCAAACTCTAAACCCTCAAGCTAAACAGCCTAACCTCAAAACCCTAAACCCGAACCCTTGCAATAGAACCCTAAAGGCCCTTAAACCCTAAACCCCTACACCCAAAAGCCTAAACCTAAACCCTTGGAGAGGCGGCTGACTTGTCTTCCGGCCGCTTCACCGAACTCCGGGGCTTCTCCGAAGATCTTGGCCTCTTGGGCTTTGGAAATCTGAAGGCGGGCGACGGGGGTTTTTTGTCGGCTTTGATGCGGGTCCTGTACGGGGTTGATAGGGTTTTATATGATGGTTCATGTAAGGGTTTTACAGGACTTTATATGCGGGCTTCGTAAGGGTTTTTTCCTAAGTGCTTTGGCATTTGGCATTATCACGGTTTGCTGTTGTTTTAGAGGGCGGTATGAAAGTGTCGTAAGTTTTTTTTTTAAACTGTGAAGGTCTTGTATGGTTTTTGGCACAGGGAACGGGTTTGGGGTGTCTGTGCTAGCACAAGTCTTGAAGGTTCCCAAGGTGAGAAGCACGGCTACAGATCAGCCCCAGCAGTCGAGAGACATTGTGTTTGTTCACAGTGAGCCGGACCGGATATCGGGTTTAAGCGGAAACAACGGCCTGCGTGCCGCGTGCCGAGTGACGACGTGTTTCAGGCAGCTTCATGTTTTCCAGTTCATGCTGGACCCTAAATCCTGAACACCAGCACCGAAAAGCAATAAAGTGGGGACCCTAAGTAAGAGCCATTTGGTTGCACATCTGCCGGCAGAAACGGATCCACACAAATTCCATTTTTTGGGGGCATATGACTGGGTGTATTGGCATACAGGCCCTGTAGACTTTAAGGAGTATAGTGAAAGTAACAATAGCACCACTACTGCTGCTGCTGCTGCTGCTGCTGCTCCACAACCACTACTACCACCACTACTACCACCACTACTGAACTACTACTACTACTACTACTACTACGACCACCACTACTACTACTACTACTACTACTACTACTACTACTACTACTACCACTACTACCACCACCACCACCACCACCGCCACCACTACCACCACCACTACCACCACCACCACTACTACTGCTACTTCTGCTGCTGCTAGTGCTGCTACTCCTGCTGCTGCTGCTGCTACTACTACTACTGCGACTATTACCACTACTACCACTACTACCGCAACTACCACTACTACCACTTCTACCACTACTACCACTACTGAACTACTACGGCCACGACCAGCAGGACGACGACTGCTACTACTTCTACCACTACTCTGCTACTCTACTGCTCTCTACTACTCTAGTACTCCCCTACTCTACTACTCTACTATTCCTACTGCTCTACTACTCTACTACTCTACAACTCCACTACTCTACTACTCGACTACTCTACTACTCTACTACTCCACCAGTCTACTACTCTGCTACTCTACTCCTCTACTACTCTACTTTACTACTCTACTGCTCTACTGCTCTACTACTGTACTACTCTACCACTCTACTACTCTACGACTCTACTATTCTACTACTCTTCTACTTCTACCCCTACCTCTTCTTCTACTTCTCATTGTACTGCGATTTCTACTCCTACTTCTACTTCTACTGCTACCGCTACTGCTACTTCTACTACTTCTCCCTGTAATTCTACTTCTACTTTTGCTGTCCTTCTACTTCCACTTCCACTTCTACTTCTACTTTTCCTTCTACTTCTACCTCTGCTTCTGCTTGGACTTCCACTTCCACTTCTGCTTCTACTTCCCCTACTTGTACTTCTACTTCTATCCCTACTCCTGTTCCAACTCCTACTCCTACTTCCACTCCGACTTCTACTCATACTCCTACTGGTATCGCTTCTGCTACTTCTACGCCTACGCCTACGTCTAAGTCAACGGTTACTACTACTACTACCACCACCACGACTACTACTACTACTACTACTACTACTACTACTACTACTACTACTACTACTACTACTACGACGACTACGACTACGACTACGACTACGACTACGACTACGACTACGACTACGACTACGACTACTACTACTACTACTACTACTACTACTACTACTCCTACTGCTACTGCTACTGCTACTGCTACTGCTACTGCTACTGCTACTGCTACTGCTACTGCTACTGCTACTGCTACTACTGCTAGTACGACTGCTACTACTGCTAGTACGACTGCTACTACTGCTAGTACGACTGCTACTACTACTTCTACGACGACGACGACGAGTACTACCACCAGTCATAGCCATAGGCAGTACCATTAGCAGTGGCATTTGCAATAGCAGTAGCAATAGCAATAGTGCTGGTACTAACTAGTTTTGGTAATCATGACCATGATAGAAGTCGTAGCAATAGCAATAGTGGAAATCATAATATTGGCATTAGTTAGCTCCCAGCGATTAACAAACTTTTCTTTCTTCTTCAAGGGGCCTTGGAATTTCTTGGCAGGGCCTCCAAACCCTAAACCCCAAACCCTAGACCCCAAACCCTAAACCCTACACCCCAAACCCTACCCCACACCCCAAACCCTAAACCCTAAACCCTAAACCCCAAACCCTAAACCCTACACCCCAAACCCTAACCCCAAACGCTATATGCCGCAGGTCCTCCTTCTCTCCGGCGCGCCTCTGACTTGCGAGTCTCTGGGCGAGGTGCGGGCCGCCTTTCCTGCACTGTTTTGGGTTTAGGGTTTAGGGTTTACTGTTTGGGGTGTAGAGCTTAGGGTTTAGGGTTTGGGGTGTAGGGTTTAGGGTTTAGAGTTTAAGGGTTTAGGGTTTAGGGTTTGGGGTTTGGGGTTTAAGGGTGTAGGACTGAGCTCAGCCCCAGAGAGCCTTTATCAGGGTTCCTTTAAAGGGGTCTATAGGGGCTACTCCAAGGGATCTCTCAGGGTACTATATTTGGGAGTTTCCGAAACGGGTACCTTGTGTCGGGGTACCTTATTTAGGGGTCCTTATGATAGGGATCCGACTATTTAGGGTACTAGATTATAATTTGGGTCCCCCATTTTCGGAAGCTCCCAAATAGACTAATGTAGGAACCTGATGAAGAAACCCTGGGCAAAAAAACCCAAAATAGTAGGATATAAGGAACCCTAATAAAGGCCCAAGGTTTCTTAATCGGGTTCCTACATTACCCTTCAAAGGAACATAGTTCATGACTGGGGGAAGCGCAGGCTTGGGATTAGGGAGAAGTGGCCAGGCGGTATTGTTAGGGTTCCGGAGTAGGACGGAGGGGAAGAGTTTGGGGTTTGGGATCAGGGAGGATTACGGAGGAGGTTGCAGGATTTGGTTCGGGTTCTAAGGGTCCACCAGTTGTTGAGGTGCGGGCTTGAGGGTGACGTGACATGGGACACCCAACAGCAAGTTGCACTTTGGAATTGCGGAGGACAAGTATTAGGAGTCGTGAGGGTTTTGTGGGGTAAACCCTACTCCCGAGCTGCCATGAGTTTTTGTGCTGCTGTCGAGAGAAGAATGCGCTCAACACCTGAAGGCGTATCGAGGTCGGAATACCGAGCCCTAAACCTTATTCTAGTTGTTCAGGCCTCTACATTAGAAGCTGCCCCCACCCTGTAATAGTGGTATAATAGGAATATAATAGGGCCCTAATATAATCCTTATAATTAGTCACTATTACAGGGTGGGGGCAGCTTCTAACCTCTACATTAACATCCTATGAAGCCACCCGAACATGTCAGGGAGCTATACTACATTCAGGCGCCTGACTAGTTCGCAATATTATTCCTTCGCTCCCCCTTGACATAAATTGCACTAAAGGATACCCCCAAAGCCATACCTTAAGCCGGAATAACCTACCTTTCTAGGGTTCCTTATTATGATTTCCTTATATAGGTCCTTAAAAAGGTAGGTTATTCCGGCTTAAGGTAAGTATTCAGGCCCCTGCACTAGACTGTCTGAGCTTTGAGGTGCTCACGTTCGCGTCCAACCTATGGAAACTGGATGCCAGCTATTGCAGCGGGAAACCAAGCTGCGAGTCTTTCTGAGGAGGTGATAGCTGCGAGCAGCGTTACTCTCTGCTATCCCTCACCTACTACAGCCGGTGGAAGAACGCATACCTCATCCACGCTACTTCACTGGCGAGGGTAACAGGGGAGAAGTCACTTGCGGCTTTGTTCGAGGCAGGAGACGTTCAAGGTGTAGGCATTTCGGGGAAGCGGGTTTACAGAGCCGCATCCCTGAATCGAGCGACTGTAGCCTCAGTCTGCCTGAAACCTGACCTGAGCCGTGAACCCCGAGGCACAGCCCTGAACGCGATCCTTAGATTATTCGTGGTTTTGCTCACTCGTCACCTTCATCCAAAACATCCACAATGTTGGATCGCGATATTAGTATCATACCTCAAAACTCTGAACAAAAACCCAACATATCCCTACACCCTAGACCTGCGACCCTGTACTTTGTATATTCTAAACTCCTGGACTCCATGAAATAAACAACCCCGGAGGTCTGTCTGAGTCAATAGTTGTAGCATCCCCTTATAGCCTCCATATGCCTCCGTGTAATTACGACACTACTCTGGGCTCCTGCTGGCTTGAATTAGCCGGGCCAGCAAGTGGATCGCGAGGAACTTCACTCATTCGTTAGGCTACTCCCTACATTCAATCGCTCGGGTAGCAGCGCACATCCTTTTTCTTGAGCCATCGCCGTCGGTCGCTTGTACAATTCATCAACGGCTTCTGTCTCTTCGCACATACACTCAACGTTCTGGAAGACATGTGACTTCACTGGGAATCTGCACTCCTCCTCGGCTGCTGACTCCTAATCTTCGTCTGGAGCCGTAAGTACATAGAGTCCCCGTGCCCGGTCACAGTAATGACAGAGCTCAAGTCGCCTTGAAGCCGCGGCAGCGTTCCTCTGCCCGTGGCAATAGCTGGTCATATGAACCCTGTCACCATGCGTCGTCACATAAAAGGGTCCGGTATACGCCGCCAGCCTGTTGGCCGGTATCATCGCCGGTCCCGGATCCGTCTGGGTACTCATCGATCTCACACTTGTCCGGGTGCTCGTACTGGACATAGGTGCCGGGCTCGCTGTAGTCCTTCTGGTAGTAGAGGAAGTAGACGATCGCCTGGAGGTCGCCAAGGGGGACTCAGCACGAGGTTCATACCTCCTGATCTCCTCCTGGACTGCTGCCTGGGCACGGTTGCGTAGCCGCTCCAACTTTTCACGCTTCTTTCTGGATGAAGCCCACCATCTACTCATCCCATGGCATGCCCTTTTAAGCAACTCCCATACTGCTACCGCCGCCACAATCACAAGCACCGTCACCGCATAGAACTCCAGAGACCCGTCAAGAGGCAGGTCCTCCTTTGAAGCTTCCGCACTCTTAATCATCACCAAGCACACTAGCAAGAACATTAAGGGCTTCTTCACGTTGACTGCGGCAATCGACTTTAGGGTCGCCTTCCCCACATCCTCAGCACTCCATGGCAACATTCTCCACAGTGCCATCAATGAGCGGAACTTAGGCAAGTCGAATGCCTTTGTCCCTAGATCTGCCTTCTGCAACTCCCCCGGGACGTGCATCACATGAAGCCTGTGAGCAGAAACTTCCTGACGAAGGAACCTTGCCCTGATACGTAGGTGTCGAGTTTTCCAGCTCCCGGGTGCTTCGCTTGCCAGGCCTTGTGCGGCCTGGTTGTCAATCTTCAACACCATCACCGGAGCCTCACCCAACTCGTGTAGCATCGCCTCAAAACCCAGCCCAAGCTGCACCGCCGAAATGCCCTCGTAGAGCTCTGCCTCAGCAACGCTGAGAGTGATCACCGGCTGTTTGCTTGCTCGCCAGGCCACTGGTGTCCCTGCTACTTGCGCCAATATGCATCCAAACGAGCGTCCTCCTCCTGGCGCGTAGCTTGCGTCCGAGTACACCGTGAGCATCGGTTCCATCTCGTCGTGGTAGAAGTAGATGCCGTACTCCACTGTTCTCGATAGGTAGAGCATCACTCTCTTGTGAATCTCCAAAGCCTTTTGAGGTTGATTGAGTGCCCTGGCTGCCATGCATGCCACACTATGGGCAAGCTCCGGACGACTCCGGGTGCTCAACCAAAGCGTCTCGCCCGTGGCCTTTTGCGCGGCCTTCACCAGGAACTCCTCTGGGACCTTCTTCTCTTCCTCACTGTCCTCGTCTTGCAACCACTCTCGTGCACAAGGTACTGTAAGTCCCTGATTCGACTCACTGATCCCATGTTGACGAAGGAGGTCCCTGATGTACCCCGACTGGGAGACATGAATCCCATCTCGCCACTTCCTTAGCTCCATGCCCAGGAAGCGAATCTGGCCATCATCCAGCATCTCCAGAGCCGTACACTTCCATCCATCTGTTAGCCACTCGTACATGCTCTTAATGATGTCGTTGGAGGACAGAAACAAGATATCATCCACGTACACAATCATCATGCCGTAGATCTTGGAGTCCTGTTCCCCGCGGATGAGCCACACATTTTCATCTGTTTCCATACACTTCAACACCAGCACTTCACCACCATGGGGAACTCGAGCATGCAGGAACCGGTCGTTCCTGAAAAGGCTCCAAAGCCTTGGGGCTTCCCGCAGCCCGTACAGCACTCTTTGTATAAGCCACATCTCACCGGGCTGTGCTTCCTCAGCTTGCAGCACGACTGTAGGCGGTTGTAGTGCATAAAGTAGTTCCCCTGGCATGGGGGCAAGTGTGAAGGCGTTGGAGATGTCAGTTCCACCGGCGCCCCATCCCCGATACACAGCGTAGGCTATGCTGAAGCGGAGAGAATCCGCTGAAGTGCCACTGGCGTAGACCTCGGTGCCATTCTGGGGCAAATAGTTGCCGCATACCACCACTCGACATTTTCTGCGATACATATCCGCACCCAGCTCCTTGGCCTCCAGCGGGGGTTTGACGGTAAAGACCCCCTTTCCGGGGAGCACAATTAATCCCTTTTGTCGTAGATCTCGTGCTTCCGCTGAAGTCAACCTTCGAATAGTCCCGCTGTCCACAAGGGCCTTCACTTCTTTCTTGATCGCAGCCTTCCACCTTGGTAAATACTTCTTCACCTCCGGCAACCCTACATTGTGCACCACCTCCAACGGACCATGTAGCTCCGATAAAAGCTGTTCCACCTCCACATTGGCTGCCGCACCTGGAGCCATCTTCATGATTTTCCTCATCTTCTTTCTCTCCTTGTACTGGATCTCCTTGGTAAACTCGTCCAGCAGGGTTTCCAGGTATAGGGAGTGTCGATTACGATGCTCTCCTCCATCTCGAACAACCTCATCTTGTTCCAAGGCACATCGTAGGACTCGCGCTTTGTCCTCAACCTCCTCCTCGTCCTGGCTGCTGGGATCACTGTCAAAGGAGCTTTCAGTGTCCTCATAATCCTCGATTTCCACACCTTCCAATGACACTGAAGAGCCTTCCAAAGGAAATCCGCCCTTTAGTAGCTGTAGCACCGCTTCACACCAAGCGGCGTGAAACCCGCCACAATCCACCTGTCTGTCTCCTTGTTCACATAGGAGTGCATGGTCCTGGGGTCAAAGGCGACCGCGCGTCCACTGATCTTCACGAGGTCTCCTTCCACAAGGCTTCCATCAGCAGGTAGTTCCCGGTTATGTTCAGTACTCTTTCCTCCGCCTTGACAACCTGGGTATCCATCCTTCTTAGCAACCCAAAGACCACCAGCATCACGCAACCCAATTTCCGTGACATAGTTGAGAGTGTTGGGTTGATTTCGTAGGTCTCGATGAGGTGGGATATCTGCCGCCTTGAAAACACCCAGCGTCGTCCAGCTTACATCCTGCTTGAGGTCTTCTGCTGCTCGCGTCCTCAGCACCATGTTAAGATACTTTGTCAAAGCCGGTCTCTTCCTCATTGCCACCGTAACACCCCTAAGCCCTCCATGAACATAGGCCCCCAGCATTGCTGACGAAGACGTTGTTCCCCTTGATTTCGTTCTCATCTTCCCCGTAACATTGATCTCGTTCAAGAGGTCGGCACACGAGTCTTCATCAAACTTGCCGTGGTTGTAGAGATTCAAAGCCTTCTCCTCCTGAGCTCTTATCATAGACCGTCTTGTCCATCCAGACGGCGCCTTCTTGTTCCCGTCATCACTCGGGGCCTTGATCTTCATGAGCTCAGGAGGCGGTTGCTTCCCCGTCAAACGATGATCAGGTATAGGGAGATCAAGTACTGGCACCAACTCCCCCTCAACCTCACCAACACCTCCACCATCATCTTCTTCCTGAACTTCTGGTTCCTGCAACACCACATGTGGGTCCACGACCTTGGTCTTCAGGTTCAGAGTCTCCGTAAGCAAACCATTGGGTCTGAGAACGATGGAACCACCTTTTATTGAATCGGACAAACCCAAGTATTTGCCCTTCTCCCAGCGGTCCGTGAGATCGTACTTCTTGTTGTTCCCAAAGACCTTTCGCCGCACCAGAACCCCAGCGCCAAATTGTAGAAGCTCTGGCCGCTGCAGTCCAAGTCGTTCGTAAATCCTTCGGTTTGCGGCGTGCTGCATTGCCAACGTCCAGTACTTCGTAGCCACCTTCGCCTCATCGAGTAACACCTTGGCCCTTGTCTTGAACCACCGTACTCCACGCTCTGCTGCACCGTTAGTCTGCGGTACCAAGGCCTCCGAACGGGTGTGGTAGATGTCGTGATCAAGCAACCACTTCCGGAGCCCCTTTGAAGCAAACTCTGACCCTCGGTCAGTATGTAGCCGGCTGACTGGATAACCCCACAGCTTCAACCGCAGGACCGCCTCCTGGATAGCCAACATCGCGTCACCACCTCGTCGAGCCCGAACCGGGTACACCATGTAGATCGTGTCCATCTCCACCGGCTGGGTGAGGTCCCCGATGATCTTTTCCCAAGCCTCCTCATCTTTCTTCATGAGCTCTTCTTCCTCGGGTTCCTCAGCTGCCGATATCTTGAAAGTTGTTCGTCCGGTCCACATACGCGGTAATTTCCGAGCACC